GATAAACAAGACGTGCATGCTACTTTGTCCTCTAAAGAGGATCCAGTGCAAAACTCTCAGCACAAGGTGCTGGACATTAAGGACAAAACAAGTATTTCACAAAAGTCATGATCTAGGTCCTGCTGCTTCCATATGAATCTTAATATTAATTGTAGTATTTCCAACAAACAGCTTAGCGTATGAGGCCTGAATTCTTGCCACTTACTAACCTCTTACTCATACGCATATACTTTACCTAGGGTGATGGGCAAACAGCTCTTCTGATATTTATTCCTCCTGCGTTGTAGAAGGAACTTTTGTCACTACCAAGTCTCACTTCCCTGCTGCAACACAGGCAGGAAGCAAAGGAAAAATGAGTATCCCACAACCTCCCCCTTCTCCTAACACATTACAGCGGAAAATTAAGTTCACCTCTCATTTAATCTAGAAAACCATGGTCAAAAACCTCAAGACGCAGCAACCGGGTTTCTCTATGGTTTGCAGTTTTGCGTAACAGCAGTAAAACACACAACTCCTCTAACTTCTTTCTATTACTGCAGATACTTGGCAAAGAAAGTTTCTCTAGTCACTACTGACAAGCATTTTACGCAAACATTTTTCTTAAAAAGAGTGTACATCCTTTTAAAAAGCATTTCTGTCTGGCACTTATCCCACGTTTCACATTAAAATTAGCTTTTTCCAAGATGGCAGTGTTCAGTTAGAGCAGGAAAATTCTCTGCAGTTCCTCCTCTGAGGGACAGCGCACCTATATCTGAAATATTGCTTCACTTAGGCTATGTAAGAGATTAAAAAAGAGCTAAATAAAAGTACAGATGGTGATAGGTATGGGCATTAACAAAGAGAAAAGAAAAAGAGGTTATTTCAAGAAATAATCCACAAGAATAGAGATAGAAGAAAATTTGTGTTTTTAAAATTAAGAAAGGGATGGCAAAAAAAGTATAGGTTCCTCCTCCTTATAATGTCTTAAGGAAAGAAAATACTTGCAATCAATTTCATTTGGTAGTTAAAAAAAAAAATCTGTATCTACCTTAAAACCTCAGATTTCTATTTACCAAAGCAAAGTAACACAGCAAAATCAGAATTACTTTCCCATATCTCCAGAATAACATCATTAACAGAGACTTCAATCACTGAGAAAGCCATATGTTGTGTAAATATTTGACAATGCTTTTCCCCAGAAATCATAGTTTACAAGCGTGTATTTAAAAGGTATTTCTAACACGTCAGAGACGATAAACTGCTGTCAAAGAATAAAATAAACTCTTATCATAGCTTATGAAGCTACAGTGATTCTGTGATGAATGCTGATAGCAGAAGAGGAGTAATGATGCCTTACACTTCAGGACAAAAGAGAAGCACCACTGGGGCCATGAACCAATTTACTCACTCTCAATTTACATCTCTACAAAGGACAGGTAAGTGAAAGGATTCTTCCTTTCATTTCCTGATTAGATGTCAAATACCTTATCTTCACAGCAGCTACGCACTACACCAAAGAACATGAAAAGCACTCCTTCTGAAAAAAGCAGCCTTTACAGCACAGAAAAAGGAGCAGATCCAGCAAACGGAAGGGACGCAAGCTGCTGACTTCAAAACCGTACAACGGCGCTAATCACTGGACACAGTTCTGTTCGATTCTTTTATAGAAGTTCCAGTTTCCTGGGTTGATGATTTAACATGCACTTTTTTTTTCCTAAAAACACTAGCCAATTTTCTGTGGAGCTGCATTGCCATAATTAAAAATAAAAAAAGAAGCAAGATTGTTGCTGGAAGCGTAAGTAATTAAACACTCACACACAGAGAAGAGCACACAAGTAACGGAACAGGAGTCATTAGTCTGAAAATAGATTTTTGATCTTTCCATATTTCCAAACAACACTGATCATAGCTCTAAATGTAAAATGAAAACAACCTCAGAAACAGGAGGACGTTAGTGAACACAGCAACAACAACGCTGCAATGTTCTGAGATGCAAGCCGCACATCATCGTTCTGCTACAGCCCCAATGCTACAGGAAAGAACCACATTGCTTGCGATGCATCTAGCAAGCTGTGAAGCACAATCCAAATTTCAGCTTCACTCCCCTAACATACACAACCTAGAGAAGAGTTAATCAGACTTTGAGCCCCTGTTAAGTCTTGCCTTTATATTAATACTGTGTCAATGATGCTTATTCAAAAAAGCAGGGGAGTTAAAAGACCAAAACCACGTACAAATAGAAATGTTGTTTCATTTAACTTGTTAAAGAAAGTTAGCTGACAATCCCAGAAGTAGTTCACAAAGTTATAACTTCATCTCATAACCAAAATATAAGAAGATAATACTTCACTAGACACATCTAACTGAACTACATTAAATCAGATAAATCAGTAGCGACATTCACTTACTATAACGATACATAGTTAATTCCTGTTAGACAAAGAAGTTGTCTTTTTGCTGTTGTTCTCAAGCACTGCAGACCACTACCTGAACTGAGGTTGTGAAACAAAATAAGAACTTCTAAAGGGGAAAAGACCAGTATGTGCAGCAGTTCTCTAGAGAAGCGAGGGAAGATGGGAGAGGGGGCTGTCAGCGTCTCAACATGTGGCAGAACAGGAATCTGGCCTCCAAGTTCTGAAAAAAAGTATTCCCAGAACTATTCAGAACAGAAATATTCCTTGCATATTCAATCTCTCCTCCACATTCAGCACACACCAAGGTCAAAAGCTGAGATTTAAGTCATTTCCTAATAACAATAATGGGATTTTCTTAAAAAACAGAAGTAAGAAACACCTCTAGATGTTATTAGTAAAACTGATGTAAATTGCAGTAAGAAAGTATCAGAACTGGTGATACTGCTGCAGTGAAGTTAACAGGGCTGATGCACAGGTAAATTACGTGCAACATTTTTGTTGCAATCCTTGGTGAGACCAAAAACCAGAACTATAGGAAGAAACCAGACCCTGTCTCTTCCACCCACACAGCCAGCTAGGCCTGGCAGTGTCAGGACATGGTGTGTGGGGGGGAGAAATGCCCTCTACTTGGATTTGCTATACTTCACATCTTCCCGCAGGAACTGCTTTCTTCCTCCTCCTTCTGTTTCCTGTACACAGCGTGAGCCCCTGGGTGAAAACACACACAGACACACACACACACACACACGCACTGCCTGACCCGCTCGCCCCTACCGACATCAGCCTCGGCGGAGGCGGGGAGAACACCTGCGGCCTCGCAGCCCGGCGAGCGGCCCGTCCTCCCCGCCGGCGGCGCAGAGCATCGCGGCG